TCAAAAAGAGATATTTAAATAAAGATAATTCAAGTAGTTTTGGTTATTACAGTTTTAGTGATTCGAACTTGATGTCTGAGAAAGACTATAAGAAAAAGAGAAATAGACGCAGATTTAAACTAGAAAAATCTAAGAAAGAAGTGGTACATACAGGAGAAAGTAAAAGACGAAAGTTGATTTTAGAGGATGTTTTTAAGAATTTTAAGGAAACATTTGATACTAGTTATAGTGAAATAAAATATTGTAAGCTAGAAAAATGCAAAATTGAGACAGAGGCGGGGAAAAAATTTATGAAGAGGGGACAGATAGTCGCACAAGAATTGATCGAAGGAACTTGAACTGACATCTAGAGGATATGGTGGAAAGAAAAGTAATAAGAGAATCGAGGGCTGAATGAAAAAATTTTATTAGATTGTTAAGAAGCCAAATGACGAGATAAGATTAGTTAGCAATCTAATAGCTCCAAATGATATTGTAAATAAATATGAATATAAACTTGCGAATCTATGAGACATAGTCAGAAAAACACAAAGATCTAGATGTATGGCAATATTTGTCCCCCAAAAAGGCTTTTATAACATAGGAAGTGATAAATACAAGACTGCGTAAGAATGTAATGGGAAAGTATTTAAATGGAACAATTTGGTGATAAAGTCCAAAATCTCTTCCGAGATATTTTAAAAGATTATGGACAGAGATTTAAGAGATAAAGGAGTAGATGTTTACATGGATGACATCGTAGTTTATGGCAAAAGCATTATGGAACACGACAATTTGGTAATTGAAGCATTAAAGAGACTCAGAGAGAACAACGTGAGGATAAATTTAGCTAAAGTGCAATTTCCTTAAGAATTGGTTTAGCTTTGGGTATCACACTAAATGGGATAGATATAAAACCATCGGAAATTATGACAATGAAGCTTTAAAGTTTCCTGTGCCTGCGTGTGTGTCAGACGTTAGACGATTTTTATGGTTAACCAGGTGATTTAAAAAATTTATTAAAGACTGCGCAAGGCTAACTATTAGTTTAGCAGATGAATTTAAAGAAGATTGTAAAAAATGGAAATGAACATGTTTGATGAGTGAAGAGTTTGAGAATATGAAAAGGGTTTTAAAAAATTTGGGCACACTACAAATTGCTGACTATGATAAGAAATTTTTTTTAAGAACGAATGCGAGGAAGATCGACATGAGTGCAGTATTATTACAAAAATCAGAAAGGTGAATGGGTTCCGGTTTCTTGGACATTAGGAAGTTTACACCGATAGAGATGCGATATGGTATTTCGGAAATATATGCAATTTTTTGGGTGATAAAGAAATTTGAATATGAGCTCAGAGGTAGAAAATTTAAAATTAAGACTGACCACAAAGCTTTAGTTAAATTTAGAAACAAACCAGACATTGAAAATAATAGAAATAACCGATGGATTGTAAAGATACAAGAGTTTGATTTCACTATTGAATATAGGTAACCGAAAGGGATGATATTAGCGGATATGTTAAGTAGAGTTTATACACAGGAAGAGAAAGAAAATAAAAAGATGATACAAAATCGTAGAGATAAACAGGTAGAAGGTAAAGTAATTAACACGTAAAAGAAAAAGACGGTTAAATGAGTTGGACATTTGATAATGGCGGGAAAGAAGAGATGCTATCAGAAGAAAAAAGTGGAAGCTAATTAAAGAGCGCCATTTAAGTAAAAACCATAGAAGGAAAACAGCAATTTATTATGTTTTAAGAAATAGTTATTATTGGCCTGATATTAAGGATCATATTGATAAGAAGATCAGAAATTCTGAGGGTTGCCAAAAATACAATTGGAAAACTAGGGTGGATGTGATTTTATAAGTACGACTAAATACTTGGAAAAAGTTGGATTTAGATCTAATAGAGTTTAGAGAAGAGGATACTTTATAATGGTAGTCATTGATTATTTTAACAGAAGAGTGTGGGCTTGGCCGTTGAGAAGGAAAAGCGCTAAGGTTGTAGTGGAATTTATAAAAGATTTATGTAGACAAGGGAAAAAACCAGTGGCAATAGTAACAGACAACGGTAAAGAATTCCAAAATGATCTACTAAGAAAATTGTGTAGTAATTTAGATGATGTAGATTCATTGTAAATTAAATGTTGAATCTTACTCAAGCGACGGTAAGGTTAAAATAATTATTATAACAATCAGAGAAAGTGTATCAAAAAGCAATAAGAAAAGATTGATTAACAAACTAGCAGAACTAATAGAAAACTATAATACAAGTAATTACATTGGAATTGGATGCACACCATTAGAAGCAGTAAATGATAAATCAGGAAAGTTAATAATAGAGAATAGTTTTGATGGGAAATGTGTCAAATATTTTGAGAATCGTTTTTGCGAGAAATTTGAGAAAAGTAGGAGGGTGACCATTTCTAAAAATGAAAATCTGCTTGTGTGCAGCAAGTATTCTAAAAGAAGGGTTCTAGACGAAAGGAAAGTTGTTGAGAGATCCTGGTGAATAGTATATGGTAAGATTAAAGAATCGAAGACTGATGAAGAAAAGACATTATGAGCTGAAAGCTAGAAAAAAAGGTAGGAAGATATGAGACTAATCGTTTGGGTTGGAAATGTTATATATTGTTTAAAATTGTATTTCAATAACAAAGGTTCTTACATATAGTATTATTAATTTTTTTGAACTTTTATCCTTAAATTTATGAGAGAAACGGAATAAGATGTAAAAATTAAAGCCGTTGAAAGTCAAAATTATAATTTTATTGTTTGGATATTATTTAGTTGCAGATAAACAGATTTGTAAGTTTTATTTAAAGATATGTGCCTCATGCATTAATTAAAATTTCTGGTAAGTTCGAATTAATATCCTGCTTTTATGGTTGTCAGCACTGTTGGACAACCATCTCTCTGCGGTCCAATTCTTGGCTCTACTCTTTTTAAACTGATATGAAAACAATACTAAAAGCAAATTATCACTATGCGTATGGTGATAATTATTCTAAACTTATTGAACATTCAGGCAGTAAGAAAATACTTTGAGTCAAGCTGCAAAAATTCTAACAAACGAATTGCTTTATTTTTCACTGAAAATCCTATTAAACTAAAATGTCTTTATATTTTTGGGCATATATAGATAAAACCAAGTTGAATTATAATGTTTTCGGTCATAGGGGTAAATCCATACAAGCCTGTTGGTATTTCTGCATCGTAGACACATCATTTAAACTACATTAGGATATGATCTTTTGTAGGATCTAGATCTGCAAGCGTTCTTATTTCTTTAATAAATTTTATTGTAAAAGCCGGAAATATTATACATTCCGATGAAGGAAAAATCTTATAGAAGTTATCTAACTCAAGTTATATGACTATTACACTGTTTGTCATAAATACAATTTTGTAGATCTTATTGCTGGCGTGCATAGTCAGCACGTAGAATCTTATAATAATAAGCTTAAATTTAAAATAGAAGCAAGAAAGGGATTAACTAGAGCTTAAAGAAAGACAATTTTTTTTAAATTAATGTTTAGAGAGCGGCATACTAAAAAAAAATTTTATCTTTTATTTAATAATTAAAATTGTTTTTTTTATCGGGTGACTGAAAGGATCTGATCCTGTAAAACTACTAAATTTAGTGCAAAAATATTACTCTATTAAGACCAAATCTTTTTTTAATAATTGGTTGTTTTTATAAAACTCGTTGTTTGTTTTCATGTTAGATGTTATTAAATTATCGATACTTATAAAAGTATAAGAATCTAACGTATTTGTTGAATATTAAACCCCGTTTGTTAACGGTTCTAATAAATTTTTATTAGTGACCTTTTTGTCTATGTAAGGCTTTGCAGCTTTTAAAAACTAAACTGTGTAAAGTTTTATTTTGTTTATTCGCTACGCTGTTAGAAATAAAAAATAAATTTATTATTTGTAAAATATAAAAAGATGAATTTTTTATTGTGGATAAATATTAATACCGTAGAATTATATATTTCCAATTTTTAAATCTTTTCTACGTATAAATTGTAAAGATTGACACACGGGTTAAGCCCTTTGCGGGTTTTAATTACTAAAATATAATTAATGCTTATATGCATTATAGATATTTAGAATATGAAAAATATTTTTTTATTGTTAATTTTACTACAAACAAATAAATTACTAAAAAGAATAGATTCAATGAGCAACTATGTTATAAAATAATACAAATAACCTTTTAAAAATTTTAATCTTGATCATTTTTTTTTTCAATTATTTCTTTAAATTCTAATAAATTACTGTAAAATGAAGTAAATCTATTGTCAATGCGAAGTAGTAACCTATTAACTTTATAAAAATCACAACTAGGAATACAACAAAAAACGCTATCACAAATTTCATGTAAATTTTTACAAATCATTTTAAAAATTAAAAGTTCTTGAGACACATCTGCATACCTGCTAAATTGATTAAATGGTAGATTAAATGAATTTAAAAAATCTTCCTTATTTTTCTTTTTCTTTGTATTAATATAAATTTCACATATAGTCTTTAAAAAACTTGAAAGATTTTGTAAAGCAAGAATTGATTTTTGTTTCAAGTCATTAGAAAGATTAGATATTTCTAGTTTCTTAATAAATTGCAGCATTTGATCTTTAATATCAAATTTATAAAACTCTCTAAAGTGCTCTTCAGATTTCTTGTATTTATCAAAAAGTTCGCGCTCGCTAGCTGTAAATTGATTTTTTAGAATTGTTTTATAAGTTTTTCTTTTTCTTTTAGATTTAAATGTAATTTCATTCCCGTTTGTTTGTATATTAGATACATTGTTAGTTTTAAATTCTTTCCTTTTATCTTTTACGTTGTTCTCATTTTTGTAAGCATTATTAAAAGAAAAATTACTTTCAGGGTTATTAATCGTAGACGAAACACCAACATTAAATGAAGCATCTGTTTGAACAGCACTTGGTTTATGTACACCATCAGTCTTTAAGTAATAAGTTTGATTTTTTGATAAAACCAAAACATTATTATTTTTCTGTAAAAATGCATTGTTTTCTGAAGTAACACATTGTTCTTGTATTAAATCATTTTGATTTTTATGTAATAATAAATTCTTATTATTATTCCAAGGTGAATTAATTTGAGAATGTTCCATTGTATCATTTCCACTACTGTTTGAAGTTTTGAGACATGTTTTGTCACTTATTGATTGTTTTGATGTACAATATTGTTTCTTAGATACATATTTAATAACTGTACTTCTTGTGCAACTGGGTGGCATCAAATTGTTCTCTTCAGTTATTGAAGACGACAAATTAAATAAATCATAATCAATATTTTTATATCTACTTTTTAAATCTTTACCTGTAAAAATTGTTAATAAATTAGAATCAGATTGATTATCATTCATATATTCATCTTCTGTTTTAGTCGATTCTTGACGTTTTTCTTGTAACCTTTCATGTTCACATAATTCTTTGTTTTCAGATGCTCTTGAAATATCTGCTTTATTTATTCTTAGATCTAATGGTAAATTTTGATCTAATATTTGTGTTGAACAAAAAACTTCCTGTAACCAAAATAACATTTAACGGTTAAAATATTTTTAAAATTTATCTGTTTAATAATTAAAACATCATTATACATTAAATTTAGATATGATAGAATGGATTCAATATTTCAATCCTAACTATGATCAAAAAAGATGATTATTTAAAAAAAATTAATTAAATTTTTTAAAAATTTATAATGATTAAGAGAAAATTCTGAGTAAAATATTTTACAGTAAAAAAAATAATGACAGAAATGTGGAATGGGTACTAAATTAATAAAAAACAAATTTAATAAAATTGAGATCTAGGTCTTAACATTATTTGTTTTGGGAATTATTTTGTACAGACTGAGCTTTGAAGAAGAATGCTTTTTAGTACAATTTATATTTTATATATAATATTTTTATAAACTACCTTTCTTATTTTATATAACTTTGTTACATAATTTAGCTTAATTTTGAAGAAATTTAGGTGTTTTCTTTTTAAATTTATGAAATTAAGATTCTACTAGAATTTAGCAAGCTTAAAAACGTCAACCCATCTTCACTACCATTTACCGGACAAATACCGTACTGACTTTTATAGTCAAAGAAAATGCTTTTTAAAGGTTTTTTTAGTACTATTAATTAGATGTATGCTTCTTTCCTGGTTGAAATTTCATGTTGTTTCTTATGGCACCTGTTCTAACATTAAAATTACAAAGACTTATTTATTTTTAAAGTTAAACAGATAAATCTACTTATATTTCAATTTAATGCAAAAAAATATTAAGATTTCCTTCAAAGATTTTTAATCCCTCTTTATTTAAACTTCAATTATAAAAAATAAATTTTTAATATGTAGGGTCAAATATTAATGTAAATGTATTTTATCTCAATTTTTTTATTAAGTGTTTTTCAAACTTAATATTTATTTTCTGTGCTATTTTATGTTATAAGGCTTGTTTAATGTCCTTAAGAGTTTTGTCTCTTTATTACAATCTTCCATGTTCATCTCACTTAAAATCTTTTAATTAAAATAGTTGCAAAGTTAATATTCAACTGTATATTTCGGCACCACTAAAAAGTTATACCTTGTATTTTTTATATTATTAATAATCTTTTATAAAAAAAATTATAATTTAAGATTTGTTTTTGATATTATTTTTTTGTAAACCATTCATTAAATATTTAAGTCTTTTTTTAAGGATGTATACTTAAGCAATAAAATAAGTAGTATACGTTAAGTATATTATGTTATATAATTGATTTACAAAGAAACTATCTATATGACGTTTTAAACTTTGCTGTTATTAATAAATAATTTCTGGATTCTGTTATATTTAAAACAAAAAAAAAGAATTTTTTTTGTTGATCAATTTCCTTGGGCTCCCGTTTTTGAATCAAATCCTTAAAAAATCCATAATAAATGGCGAACAAGATAAAATAGGTAACAGAGATGCATGTAAAAGAAAACATTTAAATAATTTTAATCAAGTTCTTAAGACGCCCCGGAGAGGTATCTAAAGAACCCAATTTAAGTAAATTTACAAATTATCCCCTTTGTCCTATAATAGTGTTTATAATTTCTTAAAATACGTTTATTTTGCTTTTTATACATTGTAAAGATATTTATTATCTCGTCAGGCTGTTTTTTTCAAACCCCACCAGTTAGTATGTTACACGGAGTTCAAGGAACATTCACAATGCCAATTTTAAAATTAATTGTAAATATCAATAAATTTCTTACTTCTGTTTTCTGATTTCAGAAACTTTGTTCTTTAAAGATAATTTTTATTATTCTTATAAATCGCATTATTATTTCACTTGACTGATGCTAAACTAGATAGATAGTATAAATCTTAATGGCGTCTTTTCTTGCACAATAATACTTCCGTGTTCAACTTCTCTTATAACTGCTCAAGAATTTAAATCTGAATCTTTACATCCCTATAAACTTTAATTGATTTTTTGCTTTAAATCTTTGTTGCGACCCTAGCCCGCGCTTTCCTAGAAAAAATCAATTTTTATAATAATGTAAATTCCTTTGTAATTCCGAATATATTATCAGCTGCAACTTCCACACCAATTTCATTAACAGGAACGAAGTTTTTTTTTCTTTTTGGACTGTATTTCTTGCATCTTAAAATCTTTTTAGTTTTTTTATTTAACTTTGTCTTATCCATCAAACTGTACCTTTTTAATGCTTCCCTTTTTTTTTCGACAAAATGTGCACTTACTAAACAAGCTTTTCCCCAGTAAGTTCTCGTTTTTTTTACCATTCATATCAATCAAAATCTCTAAGTTTTTTCCGTTTTCTATAATACATTCACATAATCTTTCCCACCAATACTTAAATTTTATTCAATAAAAATTTTCTAAAAGAAATGCAATTGTGTTTAGTACACAATAAATTCTTGCGAAAGTTTTACACAAGGTCCTAAATTTCATGCATCTATCCCTTTAATGTATGGTTTGCATAGGCTGGCTGTTTAAGAACGTTATTTGACCTACAATTCTTTTTAAGGCGTTCTAAGAAAATTCTTTTCCTGTCTCAAAATAATTTTACTTCGTTCTTGTACCTCATATCGACAACCACAATTTTTTTGCGGTCAGTACGAAATGTTTGCTAAGTATAAAATATTCCAAAAACTTTTTTTTAATAAGCTCTAATAAGTAGGGTTTTTAAGATTAATAATTATATAATTTAATAATATCTTTGATAAAATTTTTTTAAAAAAATTAACATTTCAAAAAAGGTATTTTTTTTATTTTAATATATTTCCTCAAAACATTTTTTATTTGAAGGTTAAATTTGTTATGAGTTTTTATGTTATCAAAATATTTTATTTCTTCATATTCTTAAATTCACACATCTTTGATTTATCTATGTTGGGGTTTAAAAATAACATGTTTATTGATTAAATTCTTTCTTAAAT